GCGAGCGAGAGAGAGAGAGAGAGAGAGAGAGAGAATAGAGCACATTGTACGATGCATCTGCGAGATCGCGACGCTGCTGCCAAGAATAGCGAGCGTCATCAACGTGATCTCATCGTTGATGAAAGACACAGGCGGATACGATCGAAATTCGACCAAGTTCGTCGAAAGACGAACTCCTCCCGCGGAAGCTAGTGAAAACTCTGTCACGAATCGATCTGCTCGTGATTCGTCTCAGTGACAGAGGTAAACGAAATTGTGAACGTTGAAGTCTGCCAGTTGACGTAAATAGAACACACCATCCCATCGATTTGGAATCAACTTTGGAAGAAAGAGGCGAATCGACCAGACACAGAGACGTCGTCGGTGTCGAATACCTTTTGGAAAATCCGATTGGTTTCTTGACCTGCCTTTTGCAAAATTAACTGCCCAACGCGAAATTCCTCGCGCAATTCCAGATATTTTCGATTCGATTCGAGTGGAGATCGAACGTTTCGCTGGACGAGTCGAAACGTGGCGGCTGCATCTCGAGAGCAGATGCACCTCCGAAGAGAGAAGTTGTAGCCGGGGAATCGATACGGCGGGTAGAGGGTGGGGGAGGGTGGTTGGTGGCGAACGAAAAAATGCAGCGGTCCAGCGATGCAGCGCTGCCGGGCGATTATCGGAGACGAGAGACGTACGGACGTGCGGACGGATGGACGAGAGTGGACGGACGGACGGTTTGACTTTGCATGAATGCGCAGATGCGGGTGCAACAGCTTGCGTAACGCGGCCGACAAAGAGCAAAAGGGAGACTTCGCACAGCCATATTGCCTGCTGTCAATCACAACGGCCGCGCGCGTCTCGTCTGCCGCGAGAGTCCTCGAATTTTCTCTCCTGCCATCTCTCGCCCCTCCCGTTCCCCTCTCCTGCCTCCTTCTCCTCCTCGTCGTCCGCCCCCGCGCGTCACCATCCCACGAGAATTCAGCCCGCGTGACGCTCGACCATCCGGCTCCCCTCCCCCCCTCCCGCGGAAGGGGGTGGCTCGGTACCCTTCCGGGTGCGTTGCGGAGGAAACGAGCGAGCGGAGAAGCGAAACGCCGGCGCGACAATTTCGCCGATTGGATACTTCTGTTCTCTTCTGAGCAACCGAGCCGCTCCGGCTCCGATTCCATCCGATTTATTTGAATTTTCCGATGAATTCCGCGCTTCGATTGACGGCGAAGGGCCGTGCCCAATAAAACGTATCGTCGAGCGCTCGATGAAGAATCGCCTGTTTCGAAAGCGAACGAGCCGTTTTCGATTGATCGCAAGCGTTTTCACCGACGTGTGCTCCGTTGATTTTCTTTGTTCGTCTCGCCGCGATGACCGGCGAAATATCTGTAATCTGTACGGAACGATTCGTCGAAAATTGGTCGAAGCTCGCGGCGTGGGAGACGGATCGTTCGCCTGTGTTTCGCCGATCGCTCTTCCTTTTCGTGTTAATTCCGTAAGGAACGAACCGTCATCGATCGTCGTCGATCTACGAACAGGCGTGCAGGTTCGCGTAGAACACACACAGCGAGAGGCAACCGGAAGGGACGTCAGTGGTGCGCGCGTGTACACAGAGTACGCGTCGCGGGTAGAATCGTTTGTTTCTGCGGACCGTTTAGCCAATTGCCGCAACAAAGGCGCTGCTGGCTCGCGGAGGGGTTGTTTGTAGCCGGAGTAATGGCCGCCGAGGTAACCCTCCCTTGTCCCTTCGTCGAGCTTCGGAGTCCGTGCCCACCCGTTCCTCTCCCTCGCCGGTGTTCCCCAGAGTTCACCTAGGCCGAGAGAGAGAGAGAGAGAGAGAGAGAGAGAGAGAGGGACAGCGGGAGAAAGAGGTAGAGCAAAAGAGGAGAAAGAGAAGGAAGAGGGGCAGAGAACGGGAACGAAGCACTCGATCTACCCTCTACGGCAGAACATTCCGCGCGGCTGCAGGTTTGTAGGTAGATATGGGGGCGGGTAAATCCGAACAGGAAAGCAGCTCGGCGCGTTCGAGAATCGGGGATTTATTCGGAAACTATTGCACGAAGGGGTGGTAGGTGGTAGGTGTAGGTGGCGTAGGAATAGGTGGATAGGCAAGTTTAGGGGAGAGGAGGGGGGCAGGGGCTGCGAAACGATGCTATATACCTCTATCTCTACGATTCCGCGGGGCGAGTGGCGAGAGAGGGAGAGTGGGGAAGGCGGGAGGAGAGGAGAGAAACAAGGAAACTGGATGGAGAGAAGGTGATGGCGGAGCAAGCGGAAGAAGAGGGTGGTAGGACGGTGCTAAAAGGGGGTGGAAGGGAAAGAGAGAAACAAGAGGGTAGAGGGTATCCGGTGTGCTCGCAGCTAAATGCTTCCAGCTCTTTCGTCGCAGTCGGGCCTCGAGCGTCGTCCTTCGCCGCGCCGTCGATTCCCTCAGCTAAACAGCTCGAAAATGCTCAAACGTAATATATTATCGGACGTATACGGAGCAGCGGCGTATTTATCTGAGCGAGTAACGACGAGCGGGGGTAGCGACGACGCTGCCACGCTGCCGGCCGAAAGAGGGAGCAGCCGTAAACCTGCCAGCGCAAAGTATTGCATAAATAAGTGCGCCAGCGAAATATTCATGGCCGTGCCAAACCGTCCTTCTGCCTCTCGCCCATCTCCCTCCCCCGGTTTCTGTCGACCACCGCAAGCCAGAGCTCGATCCTCCCGCTCTCGCCCTCTCCCTCTTTCTCGATTTCCTCTCGTTCCCGCGCCTCCTCTTGGCATGTCTCTTTTTCCTCCGTGGACCATCAAGCTCCGGCTGAGCCGGATATCCCGCGCGTCGTTCCTCCGTATAACCCACCCCCGAAAAGCGCGAATCTATTCATGAGCGTCTCTATCGGTAGCGGCTCGTCGATAAATTTACTCCGACGCCGCCGGTGTATCGCAACCAACCGTGGACCGAGAGGGACGTATTTTTGCGCGCGGGCCAACCGAATACCAAAGCCAGACGAACAGTCTTCTTCGACCTGGTCGCGATTCACGCGCGCGCGCGCGCACACACATAGACATACACATACACACACATATATACGTCGGACTATAAATTTCCCGCTGCGCTAAACCACCTCGATGATTTCATTTGATCGACCAACGTCGTTTCGCCAACGAAACGTTTCCAATCGAGCTCTCGCGTATTTTCTTGCTTCTCTGCTTCTCTGGTTACGACGACGACGCCTCACAAACGCCGTATCGCAACACACGAACTTCAGCTTTTCGTTTAATATCGCCAAAAAGGTTGAGACCAAAGGTAAAAGTTCCACGTCGAACCTCCTCCTCGATTCGTTCGTTCGATCGCGATCCCGCAGAGGTGTTGATAAAACGGATACGTTGGCCCGCGGACAATTCCACGCCGGCGAACGACTATTCACGAGGCCATTTATATTTTCGCAATTAAGCATCGTATAAGGTCCCGGTCGATCGGTCGGAGGGAGGCGTAGGCGCAAAAAGCGCGGCGGGTGCTGTCGCGGTGGGTAAAACTCGGTGCTTGAAAACTCGCTCCTTATTCGTGGCCGGCGAACGCGAACTCGCGGCCGAGGAATGCGAAGAAAACCGAGGGAAGAAGAGGAACGAGGCTCCCTGATAAAAAGCGAGAAAAGGAGAATAAGTTTCGAGCGAGCCGCGAGCGGCCACGTTTGTTCGAAGAGGTGGTCGAGAACTCCTCCCGATTGTCGTGCGTACGGGTATAAACGTAGGCAAGAAAGCGAGAGAAGAAGGGTGATTAATCTTGCGGTCTTCCACGTCTCGAGGCGCGGACGTGCGTTATTGATGGAGACTTCTTTCGACCTCCAGGGCTCCGTCCTCGCGTTCATCCCTCCCATCCGCCCCCTCCGTCTTCCCCCCGCCATTATCCTTCGCCAGGCTTCTTCTTCGTTCTTCTGGCCTCCTCTTCGACAAGCACGTCGCATGTACCGCCTAAGTACTCGCTCTACCGTGGAGCGTGTTGTTCCACGGATCCAAAAAGTCCGAATCGACGGGATTCTTTCGCCTCGGTCGATGATCTTCTCGTGCTGGTATTTTTGGAAGGTACAGTGTCGGTTAGCAGGGCTTTTTTCAGTCTTGTCTATTTCGGCCATTCAGTATCTCGGTAATCCCGATTCCGCGATCCTCCATCGAGGAAAAGGAATTCCGTCGACAGTTTGACGAAATGCAATCAAGCGTGCAAGTTTCTAATTCGAAAGAACAGTCACAGCCGAGTGAAGTAATTTAACTCGCTATCTTGAAACGTGAGTGAATCAAGATCCACGACGAGACGTCCTCGTGACGAACGAGATCTCATAAAGTCGTCACGGGCGACGTCGATCCGGTTGCGTGTTTTGAGCTAGCCGCCAACAAAACGCAAATCGATAATTTACATTACACGCGTGCAACATCTTCTCGCGGGATGAGCGCGAGCAACTTGAGGCACGAGCTTTACATCGAGTTAGCGCGGGCGTCCAGCTGCGATAACCAGCGAGACCAGCCACCACCGCTTCATTCCCCTGATGGGAGACGAGAGATGGAAGAAGTCCGCTGGCAGCGTTGGGGGGGG